GCCTTAATTAAAAGAGTGCTTTGTTAGTGCTGTGAATGCAATATTTATGGTGCCTAAGTATTTTAGAAGCTGCTTGTTGGATAGGCTTGTGCTATTTTGATTTGTGGTGTGTGTTTTGCTTGTCATAGCCCTAAGAAACTTAGATGAACACTCTTCTTTATGAATACACCCTGAGGAACTGCATTTGATGAACATATTGATAAGTACTTTAAAATATTGAAAGCCTTTAATTATAAAATTATGTAACTATAATGATTACTATACTCACCGCAACATTGGATAAATCATTGGGGAAGATGGATGGATGGATGGATTATAATGTTATGTATAATCTACCTCCCTGTAATCTGTATTATTAAATCACTTCTGCGTATACCATTTTCTTTTGAAAGACATTAAGTCTGATTCATGCGTACTATCCAATAATATACTATGAAAAGTTCCAACATATTTCAGAATTACCACCTTTTCACTAAATAATCACTCATGAACTATTGCATTAGTGTGTATAGTGTTCTAGTGGTGTATGTGTCTGAGTACTAGTCTATGCTGTGGTGTGATCATTTTGTGAGAAGTTTTCCAGTCCAGTGATGTAATGTTCGTACCTGGTATTTGCCCTGGTGTCACAGCAGGAACACAGAGCAATCAATATAAGGTGAGCATGTGACAGTCCGTGGTCGTTTATCTGCCTCTGAGTTTTTATAAAAGCACGTTAGTGACCGGAAAACAGTGGTCAGTAGTTAAAAGTGAGCACCATGGCAGAGCTTAGTCCGCTTATGTAATTGTTGGCCAGACTCTCGATAGAGGCCTTGGCAGCGCAGATTGCTGATTGACAGCTCTGTTGCATCTTCCAGTCTCTGTGACTCGCAGTCCGCTGCTTTTAGGAATGCGAACCGAAAGGGGACCGATGCACGCCACCATTTAACGTTTATTAAACGTTTGTTTCCTCTTCATAAATGTGTGAAGACAGCATGATCAACACAGTTCATTAAAGAGCAGAAAAGCATCTGTGAGGCATGTTGTCAGTGTTTATTTGAGGAAGCATCTGGTTTGGGGTAGAAGGGAACAACACTCAATGGGGGTGAGACTGTGGGCATTAGCGTGTCCTGCTTGGGCCTGCAACTAATTAACAGGTTTGGCTGCCATATCATCCAAAAGGAATCCATTTCTTTTTGAGTCATTTGGGATTTTTCTTTCAGTGTGAATGAAACCTTGTTTCTTGGTTACACATGAAAAAGCCCGGCCAGATAAAATAGCTCTGCACACAATACTCATCTTCTCCTTTGTCACTGGTCGCTCAGAACCTGCACCCAAGAGCCAGTACAGCACAGAGCCAATTAGGGCAGAGTGAGTACAGTAGGAAACGGAGAAAGTCCTACTTACACACGTCAATCCTATGGAAGTTAAAAGAAATCCTTCGTTTTAAAACTAGGTCATGTGTATGGACCAAGTGAGACACTGTCTCACTGTGGGCATTTATGGTGCAAAAGGTTCACTAGCAATTAAGGACGTTTCCCAACCAGCTAAATTCTTGTATCGCTTGATATTATTGCTAATGTCACATCTTATAGCTAATTATTTGTCCTCCTATACTGATGCTTCACAAAAACCCAGGATTTTGTAGTACAATAATCCTGACCAAAAATTCACAATACTTTCCTATACCTTCTCATATCACATTGCAATGTGAAAACAGAGTGGTTTTTCTAGGTTTAAGATATTTCAGTTTCAGACTGAAAATGAGACACAAATGTCTTGTAATCTGTATTGAAACTGACTTGTTGACTTTGTTGTGGTGATGTTGCGGTGTTTTATTTAGGTGTTAGTGCAGTCTGCAGGGAACTTGCTCCTAATGGAGTATTGTGTAGCTTTTCAGTAACATCTTGCCAGACTGTGGAGTTGTTGCGGTCTGCAGTTGTACAGGGCCATGTGTGCCTGCACTGTAATTGGGCACCACAATACATACTGATTTTCTTCATTATATGAAGCATATTTGTAGCCCTGAAACCTATAAAGAGAAACACGGGTCTCTTGTAACAGCCCTCTGCTGTGGGCCACCAGAACCTCAGGCTGTGCAGCTGTCAAAAAACTCTCTTGTGGAGGTAGTGAGGTACTGTATACTTGTGAAACCCTAAAGGTGCAGCTGCTCTCTGAAGGGGGCCAGTCGCATATGCAGTTGTTCCTCGCATAATATTTGGGTTTGTTAACTTGTGCCTTACTTAAGGAATGGGAGGAGAGGTACTTACAAGGGGATGCATGCAGAAGTGGAGATTTCAGGTCCAGAGACTACAAATGCAGACCACTATTTTGTTTCAACCAACCAGTTGAGTACTCTGTGTCTGTCACTCTTAATACTCAGCTGGTTGGCTGAAACAAAATCTTGGTCTGGATTTCTAGAAAGGATTCAGACCGTTATATCAGACGGAGCTGGTGAAACTCTTTACAGAGGGGGTTTCTACAATACTTAAACCAATAAACGCTGTGTTTTTCAGAAACAAAGAGCATGCATAACGCAGACACTGTGTCGAACCAGTATTTAGATCATTTGTTTTTCAGTAATTTTGTTTAGAGACTGCTTACAAATGAGTGAAATGGGTGGCGATTTATAAGGACCTGCTCATCGATATCAATTCACACAAAAAGAAGTTTTAGAATGTTTCTTGTCTCACCCCACTTACTAAAAACCTTTCTATTAAAAATAGCTTTAATAAGCCATGTAGTGCCTAAATGTAAGCAGCTGAAGTTGTGTTTCAGAGGAATAAATGGAAGCTAATGCGTGTGTTAGCACAGCACATGTTGGGTGGTGATGTGAGGCGGGTCAGGCTGGCTTACCAGAACCAGATAACGCTGCCTTGCCGTTGGTCTCACCCTCTGGGCGAGGGGAGGTATGTCACGGGTGTGTCTGTGAAAAGTGTGAATGTCACCAATCCTGAGTGTGCGACTCGACTGGTAGCTGATAACTTCCCCCGACATGCAGCGTTTTTACTCCAGCCAGCACTGTGACACCTGAACCTAGAAGTCAGCTTTTTTCTGGAAGTCAGGATTTGCGGTGGAAGTTGGCAGGTCTGCAACACCTAACAGAGCCCGGCTTCAAGTGTGAAAGGTAAAATCTTTTTGTGTAAGACACCAGAAAAGCTATTTTTTGATGGTTTTAGTCCCACCTTATACACAGATACGCCAGGGCATGCAGAAGCTTTTTCAGGGACTGGTGTTCAAAGGTTAAAAAGGGGCTTTCGGAACCTTTAAAGCTTATGCACAAATTCACATGAAGTTATTCAGGCAAAATGGGCAGGTGCTCAGGCACCCCCAGCCCCCCTCCTGCATGTGCACATAACCCATTAATGTTGTTAATTATACTTCAGAAGCTGCTATGTTCTGTGAGTCTGTTCTTCATTATCACTGATGTCCTATCTGGGGTAGCTCGGCGTCACAGTAGCTCGCATTGTTGCCTCACACCTCTGTGACCTGGGTTCAAGTCTCTGCTGTAACTCCCGCCCCCATTGTGGGGCGCCATTTCCGCCATTTCCTCCACCTAGTCTGGTTTTCCCCCACAGTACACAAAACATTAGGTTAAATAGAGTTACCAAATTGCCCATAAGTGTGAATAATGTGTGTGCACCCTGTGATGGGTTGGTGCTCCAACCTGGGTTGTTGCCTGCCTTGTGGCCAGAACCTCCAGAATAGGATACATGGATACAGAGGATGGATGGATGGATGTTCTCGCATCATTTCATTAAGTTAATCCTCTGGACGTGTCATCAACTAGTCTTATATTCCAACGTTCCTCTCCAGACTGACAGAGAAAATTGATCGTGGAGCAAGATTGTCTCCTGGGCGGTGGCACTATTTATTAGGAAGACAAATGTATTCTTTTAGTAAGATACTGATTCTGGACGTTAAGCCAATTCTTTAAGGGGTCCTAATGGAATCATGAGCCAGGGGTGGGTGTTTGCTCACAGGAAGGGAGGGGGGTAGCTCTGTGGGTAACCGAACCTGCAGGTGGGGCCCTCGGAAGCTCCTCAGGTGAGGTTATTTGCAAGATGGTTTCCGTGGTTATGAAAAGCAGCAATTCAGCTGGTGCATTTTGTGCTGCAGTCCTGCCTGACTCCCTGTCAGTCTGCCCATACCGAATGTAGAAGCCATGCAGATAAAGAGATGAATGTAGCATCTGGCAGTATTGCTATTTATTTTGACCTTTACCCTTAATCACATTGTCTATATCTAGCTTTGTTTGGTACTTATTGGTACTGCTACTCGAGTGGAAGTCAATGGAAAAGGGAAAGTACCAAAAGTATGGTACTTGGTTCGGTGGAAAAGCACCCGATGGTTTTCACTCACGGCGTTCTTTTCGCACAATGTCAGTCAAAATGGTAGCATTCAGTCGTTTTTTTCATGTAGCACCTGATCTTTGGCTGACTGCCTCCTAGGTAAGTAATTTCTGTGTGAAAAGCACAGTATTATGGATACTGGGCTATAACCTTAAAGAATCAATGACACTGGCTTTGGTGTTCAGGAAATGCATGAAGCTCTTGTGAAGTAAACAGATAGCAGCAGAGCACCAATCAGTAGTTCTGACATTCTAAGTGGCGATTGGTCCAGACCCTTTCTCTTTTGCATGAGGCTTAGGGCTGTACCTGTACCAGACATTTTGGGATCTCCTTGGCAGTTGGCAGTAAATTAGCCAAAAGCATAGTGCTGTGGTTCAAGTATGGATAATGACTGAGGGAGATGTTCAACGTCAATCACAAGTAATTATGCAAACTTCAGCTAAATACATTAGCACGCTTTGGTTATGTCAAGAGCCAAGCCATAGTATTTCTTTTTGTTTGCATCATTAAACGATTCTGTTTGTGAAAAGGGCTTATGTGGAGATATTATAAGCTGAATTGTACAGATGGCTGGACTTCAGATCATGATGTGTGCTGGCAATTTTACATCTGGCAGGTGATCATACCCTACATGAATTCCGGGGGACTCACCTGATTTCCCATTTCTTTCAGCGTGGAAGGTGATGCTCCAGTCCAGGAGACGGGCCCCTCTGCTGAGAGTGTCTACGCCCGGGGGCCCATAACCCACAGCTCTGTCCTCAGCCCAGACCGTTTTGATGCCCCGATCTATGGGCCCCCCAGTAGCCAACAGCGGTCACGACACCCTAAGCTGCAGCACTCCCAGTCCATCCTGCGCAAGCAGGCTGAGGAGGAGGCCATCAAGCGCTCCCGCTCGCTGTCAGAGAGCTATGAGCTCTCCACAGACCTGCAGGATAAACAGGTACTCCTGCTCAGACCTTCCATCCTCGAACCCGGTCGCTGCCCAGGGACGGCTGCAGTCTCCTTTGCTAAGGAAGCATCACTGAAGCTTGCTGCTGAAAAGCTGCCGATTGCAAATATCGACTTGTTTATGAGAAAATATACCTTCACTTTAACTGATGCATGTTCATTTCATAATGTCATTATAATGCACATTTTATGAGAGTTTATCCGGTGTGACACGCATAACTGTTAGGTTATAATGAGCCACATTTATTCTTTTCGAAGTGCATATATAATAATATAACAATATATAGTCTTTTTGAAATGCATTTTTTGCTAATAAATGACTAATGTTTGACCTTCTTAAGAGTGGCTGATTTCATGCAGTATTTAAACAGACTTTGTTGAGAAAAGTACTGATAATTTTTGCACCTTTGCATTTCCATCAGGGGTCTGGCTGTGAATAATGCTAGTTTAGTTTGACCCAGTCCTCATTGTCCATCTCTGATGTTTATCTTCTCCATGTGGGTTCTCAGTAACCTTTAATTTCTCCTGTTTTCAGTTAGTACTGCCCACACATGGTTCAGCTCAATTACAGTCTGTTTCCTGTAAGATAAACATTTACTGGTGGAGCTGGTAAATGAGTTTATCCATAGGTAATAAATGTGGCCTTAGCCAGAGATTCACAAAGCAGCTACCTAGCCTGGAGCTGAACCCCTTTCTGCTACTAGAAAAATATACAGTTTTACATTTCTGGAAAACACTCACATTTATTCATTGTTCTTAATGACTGAGCACAATGCAGTTTGTTTGTGTTTTAGAATTTTGCTCTTGCAGACTGAGTAAATGGAGACCACAGTTTTGTTTTTTGCATCTTCCACACACATTTGCACTTCAGTTATCCTACCTGAAATGGAATTCTAGACATTTTCTCCTGTCCCAACTAATATCTCCAATACCAATACAGATTTATAGCAGCTCAAATTAATATAGGCAATATAATATTATATGATCAAAAATTAAATCAATGGTTGTTTTAATTAATCTGTACTGTGCAGACTGATATGATCATATCAGATAGAGGGCTGAAATGTCTTAAAATTAATATACACTTATAAGTAACCTTACAACTTAACTAAAACAAAGAGCAAATTTAAAGTACATTTTCTATTCTACTTAACAGAAGTACCTTAGAATTAAGCCATGTTCACACACAGAAGTTTTTGTTTAGCAGAACACAATATTTACGTTATGACAGAGAGCCCCGATACTGGACATGGACAGCGACTGATGACCTAAGCACTACATGCCACAATATGGACATGTTTGTACGTGTTGTAGTACAATGGTGATGATAAGCAACCTGACATGTGTTACCAGATTTTAACTAATCACATTAAAATTGTGGATAAGTGGTATAAGGGACCTTTAAGACTGGGCATTGGGTGTGTATTAGGCTCATGGGAGTTTTACTTACACAAAATTTTTCAGGGGATAGAACGAAAAATGATTGGTTCAGAGAGATAACCATGCGTGTGCCACCACAATGCTAACAGCTAACCAGACGGGGCCACATTAACAGCTAAGCTCAGGGGTTTGAGTGTAGCTTAGCTCACCAGCCACTGCTCTTGGTCAGTGACAGGGCTCTCTGTCGCTCACACTTAATCATCTCTAAGAACTCTTTGGCCAATCTTACTAATAGTGCCAGGCTTGACTGATAAATTATAATACAGGAAGCCTAGCTTCTCAGCCGTTTCTCTAGGGTGAGACCTCTTTTTCTCGCCGTAAATGACGTTATCAGTGCCTGTATGTTTGTGGAACCTTAATATTGGGCAGATTTATCCACCTACTGACATATCGCTTGAACCCTGATATAGACGATAGTGATACCTAAGGTGCTGTGAAATGCTGCAAGTGTTTGGTTTTAATGTCTAGCCTGATCTGTGATGGGTGCCTCACTTTTATTTCTTCCAGGTGGAGATGCTTGAGCGTAAATATGGGGGGCGTTTCATAACTCGGCATGCTGCCCGCACCATCCAAACTGCATTCCGGCAGTACCAGATGAACAAGAACTTTGAACGTCTCCGGAGTTCTATGTCTGAGAACCGCATGTCCCGGAGGATCGTCTTGTCCAATATGAGAATGCAGTTTTCCTTTGAAGGACCTGAAAAAGTCCACAGCTCCTACTTTGAGGGCAAACAGGTCTCCTTGAGGGATGACGACAAAGACGCTGAGGCTTTGGTGCCGGCAGAACACCAGGACATGGTGGGTCCCTCGAGCATGAAGCCCGCCGCTGACCAGGGTGACTTTTCCGACGCCATCACCGAGCTGGAGGATGCATTCTCCAGGCAGGTGAAGTCGCTGGCGGAATCCATTGACGATGCTCTGAACTGCCGCACCCTTCATGGTGGGGATGAGGTGCAGGTGGAGCAGCTTCGGGGGCGCCCCGACAGGGAGAGTGAGGCAGGCTACCAGATGAAGCCCTCCCACCTTGTGGATCGCCAGAGTATGGATGAGATGACTGCGTCCTACAGTGACGTGACTCTTTTTATTGATGAGGAGGATCTCTCTCCTCCCTTACCTGTGACCCAGTCTGTGAACCGGACCTCTAGCACAGAGTCAGATATCCGTCTCCGTTCTCAAGAGTGCTGGTCTCTGGCACACAAAGACGACCAGGGTGACACGGACACCAGCTGCCGTAGTACTCCCTCACTGGAGTGCCAGGAGCGGAGGGTCCGCATGGACCACCTGCCACTGCTGACCATCGAGCCACCCAGTGACAGCTCAGCAGAACTCAGTGATCGCTCTGACCGCGGCTCGATGAAGAAGCAGGTTGCCTATAAACGCAGTTTGGCTGGCCCCGGGCAAGGTAGCCCCAAGCACGTCACGCACGTGCTGCCACAGCGTGTGCCCTCACGGGAAGAGGAGCTGCTGCCACACAGGCCCCGGCCTCTGGAGGCCCACCTGATCCTCAACGGCACCACTAACCGACAGAGCAAATCTGAGTCAGATTTCTCCGATGGGGATAATGACAGCGTCAACAGCACATCTAACTCCAACGATACGATAAACTGCAGCTCCGAGTCATCATCTCGGGATAGCCTACGGGAGCAGACCCTCAGCAAGCAGACCTACCACAAGGAGACCCGCAATAGCTGGGACTCGCCTGCCTTTAGCAATGACGTCATCCGCAAGAGGCACTATCGCATTGGTCTCAATCTCTTCAACAAGTATGTAATCAGTCCAAATCACTCAGTCCAAATAACTCACTTTTCACTTTTAAAGGCTCGAGTTGTCAAACAACGCACCAAAGTGAGTTTTTCCGGTGATTAACTAGAGAAAAATTGTTGTAGTCATATTGTCATTATGCAAAAAGTATTTGATGGATCTTATTGAACTCTGTAGATGTGTTGTATGGATGAAAATCTGGAACTGATCCTATTGCACCAAAAATGAAGCAATGCCACTGAGTGATCACCAAAAGAAGGGTAGCCTCAGAAACGTAATTTTGTTAGTGCTATAACTCAAAAAGTATTTGATGGATCTTATTGAACTTTGTAGATGTGTCGTATTGGATGAAAATCTGGAACTGATCCTATTGCACCAAAAATGAAGCAATGCCACTGAGTGATCACCAAAAGAAGGGTAGCCTCAGAAACGTAATTTTGTTAGTGCTATAACTCAAAAAGTAATTGACAGGTCTTATTACCACTTCACCAAAACATTATATGGAGAAAGATCTACACCTGATTTAAGTCAAATTGCATCAAAATTGAAGCAGCACTGCTAGGTAGCAGCAAAGCAAGGAAAGGGTGGCTTCAGAAGCAGAGGTGGATATTTCAGGTGCAGAAACTAAAAATCCAAATCTGGTTGGTTAAACAGTGTTTTGGTCTGGATTTTAACTTTCTGGATCTGAACTATCCACTTCTGTTTACAAGTTGTGCAAGTATATTTGATAGCACAAAAATTGAAACAGTGTCTCTTAGTGGTGAAAAGACAGCCGCAGTGCCACAGAGGTGGGGAGGGTGTGTATGGGGGCTAGAGACCCCATACACACTGTGCAGGTTTGGGGATGTGGGGAGCATGGGGATTAGTTGAGGGAAGGAGGTGATAGAGCCATAAAAGGAATACTTTGTTGTCATTCTGACAGCATCTGTTTATTAATGAAGATTATTATGAACATTATAATTAATGCACATTACAGCTGTTGAGTCTGTTAGGATGAACGTATTATTAATGCGATGTTAAGGTATACTTACATATTTTTTATTAATGCTTCTTGCATCATAAATATATTATGTAGGTTAACTAATGTTCTATTAATGCATTATGAAAGTGCAGTCAATGTACAAGATGTTAAGTTACAGAACCAGAGGCTCTCCCTTTCATTCAAGATAAGAGAAACCTAGAATCACCTTTGCAAGTGTTCCTCATGTGATAAGCAGACAGTGTCATATTTGTAAGAAGCCCTCTTCATGTCTCCCTCAAGGTGAGAGTGAGCAAGCTGCAGCCACCTGTTACAGGGCCCATGGAGCTGGGGGTTAAGGGCTTTGCTTATGGAGCTGTAGATGTACCAGTGCCAGGCTTGAACTGGTGACCTTCTGATTACAGGCATAGAGGCTTAGCCCACTGAGCTACATGCTCCCCTTTGATCTGTGCTCCACATCAAGTGATATGCTACACTATTTAGTAACAAGGCTGGTTGACACGCTAGTACAGGGTTCTTCAAATCTGGACCTCGATTCCAAATCCAGGCCTTGTTTTCAGTTCTCCCAGGTAGTTAGTTTAATAATTACTGATTCTGATTGGTCAGAGGCTTCACACCTGACCGACAGGTACAGGAAGGCTGGAAAACCAGCAGTGTTCGGACCTCGAGGACCGTGATTTGAATAACCCTGGCCTAGTATATAACCTCTTACCTAGAATGTACCAAAAGGGACCTCAGCTAGGTGTCTGGAGGAGCTTTTTGGTCACACTCTGAGGGCATCATGAACATCATGAATTAAGAAAGTGTTGGAGTATGAATAGAGCCCTGTGAAGCACACCAATCAGTGGGATATTTCTACTGTTTAATTAATCTTCCTGACTGTAATCATTATTAATTGGTCTGTTAGAATACAATGCTGTCCCAGTAGAGTCCCTGTTTACATTGTTTTCAACATCTGAAGCTGCTTATCCCCGCAGTGCAACCTGATCTTTTACCTGTATAACCAAAGTTATACAGTAATTCATCACAGATGTGATTCCTCCATTACCCTTAAGGTTAATGGCTCAAACAAGTAAGCTGTTCTGAAAATGTTAGATTCTACCTGGAAGAAACCCACTTATCCCAGGAAGAACAAATGTAAATTCCAAACACACTCTCTTTTCTCTTTTCCTCTGTATTAATTTACCATTCAAATTAATTTAAATGCCTCGCTGTCAGTTTAGGAAATAAAAGAAGGTGTGCAAATGGTAGCTCATATGACCTGTATATCCCTGTCAGTAGGATATGAGATAGAAAGACAACACTTCTGATGCTGAGATGTTTCCTGGTCCCGTTCTAAAAATAGCACAGTCACCTTCATTCCTAGGATGGAACTTTTCCCTTTGTGTGTTTTTGCTTTACTGTGTAATGTGATATTGTTGCAGCTTTCTCAGAATGACAGTTCTCTCTTCCTCGGTATAAAAACAGTGTTACACCAATACTGTATCAGTGTATGAGCAGCTCCAGCTGTGTGCGCATCTAGGAAAGTGGATCAGGCTCCACCTCTTCATGCTATGCCAAGCTTTTCAAAATTAATGAGGTTTTTTTTTCCCAGGACCCTGTGTGCTCTGTTTAAGAAGCACATCTTATGTAACACTGTAAAATGGAAAACATTTTTTCCAAACAAGGGTAATTTTGTACAAAGATTTCATGGACAAATAAGCATGAAGTCATTCATTTTGAACAATGAAGGAAACTTAAAAATAATTACAGTGGGGTCTAAAAGCCTGAGACCACTAGTATAAATGTACCTATTTTGCATTTTTTTATAATTTAATATGAAAGTATTCATTACAAGTTATATTATAGACACAACAACTTTATTGAAAAGTTGCATCTTTGAAAAAATTGATACATCCCCTTTTTGCTCTCACTCTTGGGAGTTTTACTTACACAAAAATATTCTGAGGGCAGATGGAAAAATGATTGGTTCAGAGAGATAACCAATTAGTCTGTAGAGGAGGTGAGACCAAGACATCTGATTGGTTGAAAATCTATTACTTGCTCTTCTTAGTTCTTGCAAAGCTTTGAGATATGTTTGACATCATTATCCTGAACCCTTGTCTACAAAGATCCAAACCAGAGGGTGTAGCATGTCTCTTAATAAAGTGGCACTTTTCCTTTATCAAGGGCGTAGTTGAGTCGGTGCAGGTGAACAATGCCTGAGTTGCCAAAACACCCTTAGACTTCAATATTCCCACCACCATGCTTCGTTGCTGTTTTGATGCACTGTGGTATCACTCTCCCTTCTATTCATCTCCTTATATAAACCCTTCTGTTACAGTAATTCTCAAACTTGGATTGACCATTAATTAGGACTTTCTCCAATGATGCACTCTGGAATGTGCATATGCCTTACCCATGTCAAAACTTTGTTTATTTACAGGATTAAATTATAAAGTTTGTATATTTTCAAAATGGTCTCAGACTTTTGAACCCTGCAGTATCGCTGGTGTTTGTACTAATTATGGTGACCACATTCCCATTGCTTCTTTATCTGCAGGAAGCCAGAGAAAGGTATCCAGTACCTGACTGAGAGGGGATTTGTTCCGGACACACCTGTGGGCGTGGCTCACTTCCTTCTTCAGAGGAAGGGCTTAAGCCGACAGATGATTGGGGAGTTTCTTGGAAACCGTCAAAAACAGTTCAACAGGGATGTCTTGGAGTGAGTATTGCTAGGCAATAAATATTACTGAAAACAAACAGCTACTTTAGCCAAATCTGTGTTTTGGATAACACTGAATGCATTCAAGTTCATCCTACCATGTGAGCTTGAGTACAAATAAAGTCAAAATTTGCTGGTTACAAGAGGTTCATTGAATAATGCCAAATCCTGTCAGAAAACATAATAATGGTTAAAGTCATGGACTTTTCATGGACAGAAGGGCTCTGTTGATGGACTCATAAACAAGGTCAGGAGTTGGAATTAGAAAATGTAAAAAATCTTTGGGCATTGATGTTTTGCAATGACTTACTCCGTTTTAAATGGTCATCCCCTCCTTACTTTACTGAAATGCCAGCATTCGAGGTTTTTTGAAGGTTTCACCCATGTGGACTTTGCTGGGAGCTCTGTGAGGGTTTAGGTTCCTTCACACGTCACCTTTCTCAGAGTAGGCCATCGTTGGTGACATGGAGGGTGCGCTGTCTGACCGCTGCCCTTCATGCCCGGTAGTTGCGTGGTGGATGAGATGGACTTCTCAAGCATGGAGCTGGATGAAGCCCTCAGGAAGTTCCAGGCCCACATCCGGGTCCAGGGGGAGGCGCAGAAGGTGGAGAGGCTGATCGAGGCTTTTAGGTGAGACACACAGGCCTGGTGTGAACGCTATGCAATGTGTCAATGAACAACCGAAAAGATTTAAAGGGGAATCTTACCCAGCCATACAAAATGTTAATCAGATAATTAAAATGTATCTAAATGAAAGTGTACTAAATTCACCGTGATTCACCTTTCTGTGTACATGAAACTCACTTTTCGTTACGGTAAATGAAAAATTTGTCCTCCATTTTCCACTGAAATCTGAGGAGAAATCCTGCTTACAGCAAATCATCAGTCTAATTGTAAACTCAGCATTAATTCTACCACATTCATTTTTTTCTGTCATTATCTGTTTTGCTTGCAAAAATAACATTCTTCTGATTTAATATATACATCAAATTAGAAGGTTCACCAAACCATTTCAGGCTGCTTTAAAAATGTTATGCAAAAACAGATGAAAAAAGATGAACACCTTTGCTCCGAATCGTGCCATGTACCAAGAAAATAATCAAGAAAAAAGCTTATTTTATTACTTGCACAATGAGCTGAGGAATATGAAGAACATCATGAAGTGATATACAAATTGTATACATTGTATTACATAAAACTGGGAGAACAGTGTAGGTCAATCAGCTGTAAAAAGTTATTATTGGTGTCATGTCATGTTGAAGTTTTTCCCCTTCAGTTTGACTTGACCATGTTCCTCATTTCAGTACTATTAGCCTATAGCTGGGGTTAATGACTTGGTCACTACTGACCTTGTCTGAACAAATTCTTTTCCCTACCATAGCCAGCGCTACTGCATCTGCAACCCCACAGTAGTACGGCAGTTCAGGAACCCAGACACCATCTTCATCCTGGCCTTTGCTATCATCCTCCTCAACACGGACATGTACAGCCCCAACGTCAAGCCTGAGAGGAAGATGAAGCTAGAGGACTTTGTCAAGAATTTGAGAGGTGAGCGGGCAGCCCCTATGTAGCAGACATTTTGATGATCTTTCTCTTTCTGCAGTAACTGAGACAATTCTAATTAGGGAGCAAATTCAACTGTCCCTTCATATTTAAGTATATACTTAGTATATTGTTTCACTAATAGTAATAAAAACTCGATATGTTTAAACCTTGGTTCCTTTAATATCTAACATATTTATAAGCTTTCATGTGTGTGTGTGTGTGTGTAAGTTTCTTTATGGTAGTATACTTGGAAAGGTGTGTCCCTATAAACCAGGGATTTGTCAGGGTGTCCTCATAAGTACTGTATACCTTTATATGTGTGTGTGCGTGTATGTGTGTATGTGTCTGTGTGTGTGTGTTTGCTAATGACTAGATGATGCCAACCCCAGGTGTTGACGATGGAGAGGACATCCCACGGGAAACGTTGATTGGAATCTATGAAAGGATCCAAAAACGGGAGCTGAAAACCAACGAAGACCACGTGTCTCAAGTTCAGAAGGTGGAAAAGCTCATTGTGGGCAAAAAGCCAGTAAGTCCTGCTGGATCCATATGGGAGAATCAGTTTCGTCATTTGTAACTAAGATGTTTGCCAGTCACCTGCTTTTATATCTTACATGAGTGTGAACAGAGTAATTATTAAATTGTAGGTTTACTAATTATCTTAAAAGTGCTTTGTGCTCATACAGCTCAGAAAATAGAAATCTCACGTTCTCTTGCTATTTTATTGTGCTTGCACTGCAGATTGGATCACTACACCAGGGCCTTGGATGTGTAAGTAGCTATTCATTTCTCATGCATCGCATGCAATAATTCTTTCCCTGATTTCCATGAAAATCGTAAAGTAAATGATGAGGCATAATTTGAAGTGTTCTGAACGGTCTCATTACCTCCATAAAAAGGATTTAGATTTCTGGACAGTTAACAGTCCATTCCATTTGTGAACTCAAAAGTGGTCATCAGCCTTTTACTTGGCTTTTTCCAATTGTTTAATATTGCTGCCTGGAACTACACATCATTTATAAATGATATAGAAAGTAAGCTTCAGTAAATCACCCTATATGAAGATATCTGCTAAGGTAAACATGTCACGAACTCGTGAATTTCTGACATGGGGGCATGGCATGGTGCAGGCAGGAAAAGGTGGACAATCCACTGAGGGGTCAGCAAAACAGGGGTTTACAGAACATTAACAGAACATGAGAACACTAGGAAACACTACAAAACAAAATGGACCACAAGGGGTCAAAACTAAAAAGGGGTACAAAGTAAACTAACAAAACAAAAATGATCAATAAGGTAGCTGGTTACACCAAGGAACAGCCAGGGAATCAAACATCAAACACACAGTCAATAAGACCATCAACAGCAGCAACTACAACATTGACTCCACAAGAAACAGGGCAGGTTCAGGAACTTAAGGATAACGCAGGACAGGTGAGAACAGTTAACAAGGGCTGGCGAAACGGGCAACGGGTGAAAGGAATAATTAAATCAAGGAACTAACAGGGGAACTAAGAACTGACAAAGAAAGAAGGAAACAGAATTTAAATACTGGTAAAATAACAAAGGCAGGTAAAAAAGAACGAGGGCAAAGCAAAAAAACAAAACAGAATATAAGTCGCGAAACACAGGAACTAGAAATACAAATGAAATACTAGGGAAACAGAATCTACAAAATACAACAATAGAGGAAGAGGGATTTGAACACCCAGCAGGGAGTTTAGGGGCTATACACTCAGCTCACAGAGCCATGCAGCAGTCCGGAGAGCAGGGGAGGCACACTAAGGGAATTGTCAACGAGGAGGAACAGGATGGCCAGTGACATCTGCTGGCCAAACAGGGAGGAGACATGAAAGACTGGGACAGACGGGTGCACAGCCTGACATAAACATGTCATTTGTAGTAGCATAACTACAATGTAGTAGCATAAACAAGCAATATATGCGAGGGATTTGCAAATATTGTAGGGGTGTTATTTTTATAAAAAAAAAATTTTTTTTTGCTTTTAAAAATTCATGCGTAGTTTTTCCATTTACGGCGACAGTTGAATTAGGTAATGAGTGTGCTTAATTTTTGAGACTGAGTTTAATTTATCTGAGTTTAATTTATATGATACTCCTGGCGTTCAATTTTTAAACTATATCAGCTTAGCGACCGCTAAGAGCCCCTCTGTGTAAGCCTGAATTATTGAACAACCGTCAGTTGTTGATCCCGACAAAACAATCTCCATAAAATTGCCTGTTTCCAAAAATGCTACACAAATTAACTTTTCCTGAAGGGTTCAATTATCTTTTGTAGAGCTAGACTTCTGACAGGACCGCTTCCTCCTTGTAGGTGCTGTCTCTGCCCCATCGGAGACTAGTGTGCTACTGCAGGCTCTTTGAAGTACCCGACGCCAACAAGATCCAGAAACTGGGTCTCCATCAGAGGGAAATCTTCCTCTTCAATGATCTGTTGGTGGTACGCTGCACTCTCTCCGCTCCTCATGTGCTGTATATTCTCTGATTCTGTGATCTCAGGATTTCCCTCATCCAGCTACAGATTCATTTAAGGCTATCTTTGTCCAAAAAAGCTCCTGTACACTTAGAAACCATCTATTTCAGTTTCCACATCATCTGATATTGTTATTTACAATGATAAATGCAACAAATGTTTACTTGAGTTCAATTATGAGCACAGCCCTAAATCATGGGCACAAGATATTTGGGCATAATGGATTTTGGGTGAATCTACAAATCGCATCTCTCCTGGCATTCATTCAGGTAACGTTATACATTAATGTAACTCTCATCCCATCCATCTTTTCTTTAGGTTACAAAGATTTTTCAAAAAAAGAAGAACTCGGTGACATACAGCTTTCGACAATCCTTTTCCCTCTATGGGATGCAAGTACTTCTATTTGAGAACCAATGTAAGTACTGGATGCCAGACCCATTACATGATGAGCTCCTGGTTCCTGATGAGGCTGCCATAGTGACCAAGCAAAGGACCAAATCAGTTTAACTTTGCAAAAAAGGTGCTTCAGAATCTATTTGTTTAGTACATGAAGATCCTCTAGACATTTTCCATTTACTCTGTTTCAGACTACCCCAATGGAATCAGACTCACGTCAGCTGTCCCTGGAGCAGATGTGAAAGTCCTTATCAACTTCAATGCCCCAAATCCCCAGGATCGTAAGAAGTTTACTGATGATTTGCGAGAGTCCATCGCAGAGGTCCAGGAAATGGAGAAGTACAGGATAGAGTGTGAGAAACTCCTTCACAATATCAACCTGCATATAAAATACACAATAACACTAACTCAATAGCCTCAGACGTTCATGTGTTATTGTGTATTCTTCAGACAAATGGTTACTAGGTCTTCAATTTAAGTTGTTAACATGGGGGGGGGGGGGGTTTTGTCCCAAATACTTTTAAAAATGGGAGGAAGAGATATTAAGTGGAAATGTTAAAAGAAAATGAGCGATGAAGTTTAAAGGACAGATCTGTATTATCTTGCTGGTATTACAGAATAAGATCATGCAAATGAGTGTATTCTCATCACAAAACTCATCGTAGCAGCATGAGAAAAATTAGGAAAGTAGAGCAACTTAATTTAGCGATGACATGCCGTTCACCTGAATATATTCTCCATTTAGCGGAACTGGAGAAGCAAAAGGGTGTGGTCCGGCCCAGCATGTCCCAGAGCTCAGGCCTCAAGAAGGAGTCTGGGAACGGAAACCTGAGCCGCGGTAGCCTGGACGACAGTTACGCTATGGGGGAGGGACTGAAGAGGAGCGCCCTCAGTAGCTCGCTGCGGGACCTCTCCGAAGCAGGTAAGGCTACACAGGTTTCCTGCACGCGAGGCACCGACAAAGCAGACCGGTCGTGCATATTCTGGGTCGACGGTGAAGGGCGGCTTTCTGCTGAGCACAGACCTAAAGCGAGGTTTGGCTCCTGTTCACCGCTCATACTGAGGAGCTTGTTCGCATGTGAAGATACTGAACCGCATGGAAGCCAAATTAGCTGGGTTGTCCGAAGCTGAATGTGAGGCGGTGTTTACGTGGAGAAAGTAGAGTCCAGAAAAATGTGGTTGGGACAGAACCTTTCTTTGGAAAGAGCTCCTGTCAGAGAGGCATGTCTCAAAGGGGGTAGATGATGTTCCCCTTTAGGTACACTTTCAGAAATCAGTCATTGAGACATATGGGTTTTAGGTGTCCTGGAGTAATTGTTAATGGATCATTGATGCTGATTGCTAATTGGTCTGTTGATGGTATTTTACTTGCTGTTATTTTTACACTGATAATATATAGGCGACCCATCAAATTATTCAAATTTACTCTAATTCGGAGGCACTGTATAAACATGTTATTCGAAATCTTATCTGAAAGCACTTGCTTGATTTTCCTGATTATATCTCATTGTCAGTTCTACTGTTTCTATGACATTTTGTTCACATATCATTCGCCTTGTTTGATCCAACAATGTTGACCACCAACTTCATTACTCATTGTGTCTTTCATATCGTGCATTGCTGGCTAAAACTGCATCATAATTAATTTCTAACACTATAAAAAAAAACAAGCAGAAACCCACACCATTGTGAATACTGTATAATATGTGTTTCCATTTATCGTGCTATGTTTGTACATGATATCCATTTTTTAACCTGTAATTTCCAAAACACAAATAAGGATGGAATGAAGGAATGGAAATATTAAGGTAAACTGTGTCTATTTGTATTAATTGCCAATATATATATTTTTTTTTAATATTTAATAATTTATTTTCAAATTAAAATTTTTATTTATTTTCTAAATGCCATATGGCACATTGCAGCAGCAGTGTAGAAATGAAGAACCAGCCATAGATAAAATTCAAAAAAGCTTTTAAGCTAATAGCTCTAGACTATAGAATTTCCCAGATATTTTTAAATTTTATATTTATTTATATTTTATGTGATATTATGTGACATATATTTTATACTTTTTTTCCAATATTTTTATATTCTATATTTATGAGTCTCATATATTTCTAAACACAATAACTAGACAAATGAAAAAAGGGAGAATTAAAATTGCAAACCAACAGAATAATTACTGTATAAGCTCTTTAAAATAAGAAGTAGGCTTCTACTCCTTAGTTAACATTTTTATCTCATGAGATCTTATACTAACTTTATTGGGCACCATTTTTGTTCATTATATGGTTCTCGTAATTTTTAAATTGAAAGCCTTATTTTATATTATTTATAATGTACCTTACTATAATAATTATTATTAATATCTAATAGGATTGAGCCTGATTATGATCACTAAAACTATATTTTATACCAGAGCATTTTGTTTCAGATGATGGAGAGCTTTCTCCTTTAACACTTTAACATTTAACTTTAAATCTAAGCTGACCTTTTTAAAGTTACAAGTCTAAACTGCTCAGGCAACAACCGTTAGAAAAATGATAAAGTCAGTTGATGTTTGACAAAGGTTTGTATGTCTACATGTATTGTTCTGTGTCTGGATATTTGTGCTTTTTTCACTTACGTCACAGTCTGGGATTTTGTTTTGTAACTAAGTGACCTCCTCCTGGTGACGAAATTTTTTCGGGAATACAGTCTTTCCTTTTATTTTTCAGTTACATAGCAAGATTTAGATTTTATTTCCTCACATTGTCCCATGATACTTTGCTTTTCTTTTTATCTCTTTTGTTTTGTTTTTTTATTACAGTCTTCCTTTCAAATTAACATTAGGAGTCACATGTCAGTCACATCCGCATTAAGTCATCGACCGCAGACCACTCCCACCTCGGCTGTGCAGGTCGTCCACAGAGCCTCAGAGCCTCAGGCAGCTTGCGCTGGCTCTTGCCTGTTCACTTCCATACCACCTGAATACTAGCCCAGGTAAACCTGGGGCTGCTTTACCTTTGCTTGCTTATAAAGGCCCAGCCCTTGAGTGGTCATCACCTCTCCTGGTTTTTTCAAACCTTCTGGAAGCTTCTGCAGAGGCTGTTGTCACTCTCCTGTTATCTCCCCTGGTGACACAGCGCTTTTATTTCTATATTGTATATCAACAGTAGAAGTATCCTGCCCAGTTAAAAACATATTATGGTGTAGAGCACCCCCAACTCATAGCCTCATGGCAGAATTATATTATTCTAACTCCCCCACCTCCCCCCCTGCTCCCTCAAAATACCCCCCGCCCTCGTCAGAGCAATCCCCTCCTCTGCTACCATGCAGCCACAGCGGCCCCACCCCGCCGCCAGGGATGAGGGATGTAGGCTCCTCTGTATAACCCCAGAAATGTCCATTTCTAATCTGTGGTGTTGCATGTCCCGGGCAGGGAAGCGGGGCCGTCGCTGCAGTGCAGGATCACTAGAGAGCAATATGGAAGTAAGTAGGAGGCCAGCCCTGTAAGCCTACTCTCTGTGTGATGATGTGCTCTTTGAAACGCATCCCTCTTTCCTTTCCTTTTGCACCCTTTTTCCTATTTTTGTTTTTTTCCTGCTGTGGGTTAATCTTTAGCCGCCTGTCTGAACCAATGTGCATGCCTGGCCTGCCTGCATTTTGCTGTCAGACTTGCCTCTGGTGGGAGGGGTTCTGCATCGCTCAGGGGGGGGGGGGTCCTGCTCACCACTCTCTCCTTTCTGTAGCTCAGCATGACCTGACTAATCCCACTCATCTACCATCGTTTCTCAAGCGTGTTGGTCCCTGATCAATGTTTTTTTTTTTCTTTTGGTGATTCACTTTTCTTTATCTTTTTTATATTTTCAGTTGTTTTTTTTTTAAAGTGCAACTACTTAATTCAGTGACTGCACAGGGATTGCAGTTTTGGATGGGCATCTCCTTCCACCACAACCTGCCAGTTGGTTAAAACTCCCTCTCAGCCTCTGCACATCACTGGTCCCCTATGTAGCGCCACCTATCGCCACTTCATGCGAAGCCCTGATTTATAATCAGCTCGCACCGTGGCCAGAAAGCATATCGTCATTTTTAGTTTCCATGGACTGAAAGTCTTTAGGGAGGCCGAACAGAAACATGTGGTTTTTTTTTATCACATTTGTCATGGTATGAAAAGGCAAAAACAGGAATAAGACTTCTTTGCTTTTCCAAGTCTCTCATTAGACATACAGATAGGAGCATCCAATGCCAACAAATTTAGCCAGACTTTTGTCAGGAGAGTATTGCTCACTTTTGTTGGGAGACCAGCAAGCTCTACTGACCTGCGGCATGTACACGCTCAAACTGTACCCCATCAGGCAAATCATTCATATAATTCAATGCAAACAAAAACAAACAAAAAAAATTCCAAATAAATCATCCTCTTAGCTATGTCAGTCACGGTCCTTTCATACTCCGGTGTATTCTTACCACTGATACTGTTTATTGTCTAATAGAAGGATAGGAGTTCCATTACCTGCTTTAAATAATCATCTATCCCTTTTAATGCGCCGAAGATAATCCCAATGTTAATGCTAATGTGCATTAAGCTATAATATAACCCATTCATTTCATACACAAAACCTGTTGGTGTCATATCGTGATCAGAAAACTAACCATTTTTTGGTGATAGAGTGATTTGCCTCATTGATAACCAAATGTTGGATTTGGTACGAATCCATGAAGCAAGTGCTATTTTACAGTCTTCTGCGATTGAGTCCCCGCCAGTGATTTTCCCTCGTGATCCTCATCCTAGGTTCTTCACTTTTGGGCTTTTCTGAATTGCCTTTGGTGTTTTTAGCAGATTCTGTTAGTGGGTGATTGTCACTTTTTCCTTAACGATTACAACTTGGTCCGCTTAGAGTTTGAAGCAGCATGAGTTTTCCTTTGGCATGTTTTGGTTTAACACTGTGGAGGCCTTTGTCATAATATTGTCAGCTAATTTTTAGCATTAAATAGCTATGAAGATCTCTGATCTCTATAAGCTAAGCTAATGATAGCCCCTCCATATCGTCGGTATGACTTCTAGGTTGTTCTGCCAAATGCATATGAGCAATTTTGTCTATAACATTTCTCCAGACTGTTGAACCTAATCCTGTTGGTCTGCAGTCTAGATGTTGCTTTCAAAGTATGTCAAATAACTTGAACCTCAAAGATTTATCACAAAGATGAAAAAGCTGATATACTTCCAGCCCACATTAATGAGGTCAGGTTTAGTGCTTCTTCCTCATAAACATCTATCTAAACAACGGGGGTATATAATGATGTGGAAATTGTGCTTGTTGAAGTACAGTTGCTATGCTAGCAATTAACCATACGGCTGCTTTGTTAGCATTTCTCTCTGCATCTTTTTGCATGCTACCTGCAATCAGCCACTAGGGGGCAGGAATGTGGAGCCCTTCTTCTGTGAGGCAGTGTCCAGGGCGTCACTGCTGCATGCTTCTGGTGGGTGGCAGGAGCAGTGACGGCACTCTGTTGTCCCCCCCCCCCCCCCCAGGGCTCCATCATTAGCAGCCCCCATGCACACCCGAGGGCCGCTGCCTCCCGCGACGGGCCTCCACGTGGCCAGCTGCCCGCTCCCAACTCCTCCTCGCTTCTGGGAACTCTGTTCGGCAGTCGACGGGGCAAACCCCAGTCTTCCTCGGCCCACGGCCACCATTCTCATCAGACTTCATTCCAGCACCCCACCCTTATTTCGCACACACCCCACCCCTCCACACTGCACCACAGCTCCCAGTTGGAGCACCACGCCCTTCATGGCCAGCTCTGTCACACCCAGCAAAACCCACCTCCCTACCACCACCATCATCATTACCACCCACCCCACCAGTACCGCCAGCATCCGGCCTACGCACCTCACCCCCACTCCCAGCACAGCCACGGCATCCACTCCCAGCATGCATCTCACCACCACGGCCCAGTCCCCGGTAGCAGTGGCAAACCTAAACACAGTGGCATCAGCACCGTGGTGTAAGGTGTAGGCGGGAGAAGGGAAAAGGCCCAGTTTTCTACTCAGTAACGCCAGTAGAGGGGATGCTGTGAGAAGCCACAGGGGTGGTCACTTCTGGCTGGCAGCCCCTCCGGCTGCTGGCTTGGATGGAGGGAAAACACGTCAAAAGGCTCCATTCCTCCACATCACTCGGAGATTCGTTTCCTCAGAGCCTACTCCAACTGTCTGCCAGGGAGCCATTTGATCATTGCATGACTATCATCTCAGATCATGCAGACAAGTCCCTACAAAATGACTACACAGAGAGTAGTAGCTCTAGTGATCACAACACTCTCAAAATGGTTCTTTGTCTTCCCTTCTGGAGCCTACAACAAGACAGGAATGAAGATTATGGCTCCTTCCCTTGTAATGGGGAAGCAGATGTGAAAATTAAGTTAAAAGTCAAATTTAAAAACTGGCCAAACTCAGTTCTGCACACTTTACAGTTTTGTGTAGTTCAAGAGTAGGAGGGTAGCTTGCAGAATGACTAGACCAGCAACTAAGAAATGAGTCTGAGAAGCACCAGTCATAAAACAGTTTTTTACTGGAGCTGCAGATCTGAACTTGGTGCCGTCAAGCAATCAGAAGTATGTGCCAAGTACTAGTGCTATAAGAGTTTAGTCTACTGTGCTTTGTACATTAAGCCTATAACCTTTTGTAGAATAGTAAAAGCACCAATTATTCTCAATAATGGAAAGAGAAAACATCTAATGTTGCCTCATGTCATACTCTGTGGTTTTAGGCAATTAGTGCTTGTAGATAATTAGACTCCTGTTAGTCTCAGTGGGGCAGTTTGGATACACCTCTAAAAGCAGGTTCTTCAGGGATGAAAGGGAGCAAAGCATGATACTGTACTTTATCCATTTATCAATGGGTGAGCCCATCTTCAAACAGAAGGGGAAACTGGATAGAGACAAAGCAAGAAATACAAAATGGAATTGGGGGCTGACGGCAGCCGGATGTCGTTCGTTTTTCTTGTTCCATTTTTCGTCTTCTTACAAGGCCTTGTAACCGTCAGCACGTCAAGCCGGCAGCAATCGCATGCATACAAGAGCACTGCGGCCTCATGACGCCCCACCACAAAGGTGCAGGGACGAGTCACGATACAACGGTCTTACTAGCTATAGCACACCACGGCCTCAGTGCATGTGTTTAAAAAATAAAAATAAAAAAAGAGGCATTATACTGCAATTTATTGACCTCATTTAGAGCCAAATCTTTGCTAGCAGTTCGTGCTGGAGGCAGAGAATGGGCAGGAACTGACTAAGGAGGGGGCCTTGAAAAATTGAGGGCTCTTTTTTTTAGTTATATATTCCTGAAACCTCACCCAGCCTATGGAAGGGAAATGCTCTTAACTCTGTTAGGGGGAAACCTTTTTTTATAGTTTGTACATTTTAAATTTTTTATTATCCAATTAATTATATGTGCAATAGGTATATAAAAAAAAACATATACTGAAACAAAAATTGATTCATTTTCCATGCTGTCCATTTCCTGTCGCATTGCTTTTCTTCTTTTTCTTTTTGTGTCACCAAATCATTTTCTCTCCACAGCTTTACTGTCTCTCTGGGTCTTTGAGACCTGTTGTCTTGCAGTAACAAAGACTGTCCAGGAAAATATTCTTGCATGTCATGTCAATATATTGAGGCTGTTCTCTACATATTGTATATTTGCAGAATAAATCAGTGTTACTCTTGACTGTTGTTGGAGCTAAATGTTAATAAATTACAATGTGTAACCTTTTCTTCATGGAATTGTAATAACAGTAGATTATGTTACTGCAGGTTGTTCTTTTTTTCTCACTTTGTAAATATATAAAGTTAATGTACAGTGCAAACCCACAGTTTCAGTTGTGCAAGAGAGTATATGTACACATTTTACAAAGCATATTACAATGATATCTAAATGTATTAAGGAGAGGATATTGCAATACGGGACCTGCCATTGTTCAGCACATGGAGCCATTTGAAAAAAGCTAACATTACTAAAAATATATATTTGTCTAGTACTGTACATAACAAAAGGACTTTCAAAAACAGCACTGCTAGAATGACCAGGGTTTGTTTTGTAGTTGCAGCAAATACATGAATCAGGACTCCTGTTCGGCTATATGCTGAAGTCACATTCAGGTTCTGAAGAATAAGGAATTAACGTGGTTTTTGTGTTTTTTTTTGTTCCTTTTCAAGTCGATAAAGGATTGTAAGTAAAAGGGTAAGCGGAGTAACAGTTAAATTGCACAAGGACTGTATGGATTCTTGGACAGTCATGGACGCTGAGACCACACAGAACCCCACCTGGGAACCCAAACCCGTTCTGGTCCACTGGCTGCAGACACACCTGACTTCAGCACTTTCCCAGTTTCACTTTTTTATGAAGCCCATCGAGGACCCACTGATCTGCATTTTTGCCGTGTGACTTGTGAAGTGGCTTGCATTTTGCCCAAGCATTAAAAACACCAAGGCCAGACCCCCACCCATCCAGAGGCAGGACTGAGGAAGGGCTCATGGGTGGAGATGGCATTTGCTGTCAGATCAGACCAGCCACACTTTCAAAAGGGGAAGCTAATTTGTACATAGTCTCCATGTCTCTATTTTAGTTGCAACACTTCCTGTCACATGGGGGGGGGGGGGACTCCTGTCAGTCACATACACTACAAATACTCAGCACACACATTTCTTCCACCACCAGCTATTCTGAATGGTCATATGGTGTATATGTTAAATGAAGACTGTTGAAAAATCTCGCTGCCCCTCATCTAGTGGAGCAGGTCTGTCCTTCAAGCTCAAGACCAACATGACCATTGAAGAGGGAAAAGAGTGCGTTCATTTTAATATGCATTTTGTTTGTAAGTAGTTCATAAGATCTTGTTGATGTAAAACCATAACTGTGATAATGTTAAGAAAACAAAATAAATAAGTTATGTAAAGTGGAACTGTGGTGAGCTGTGGTGAGTTAGGCGGTCGGCAGAGGAGGACTGTGCATCAGTACATCAGCCCCCAGGAAAGCAGATACTTTCAGAAATAATCTGATTATCTTTTTTATCTGTATCATAGTGGAATTAACATGGGCGGCACTCAGTCCCAGTAGAACCTTCTATATATCTTTTATATATCTTATATCTTCGAAGCATTTATCCAGTACAGTTTTGCAGTGGAGCCTGAAGTCTATTCCAGGCAGCACAAGGCAATCTGTCTATGACTGCAGGAGGAAATTCACACAGGGACGCCATGTAAATAGCACACACACATAGTGGAGAAGGGATTCAATGAAACCCCAAGCCTGGGGAAGGGAAGCAGCAGCAGCCACACAGCCGTGTCACCCTGCTCCGGGGGTGCTGTGCTGTTTCTGGGGGAATAGATTAGCTGGTACTGCCACCTGCTGGCTAAGGCTTAATTTGTGTGTGTGTGTGTGTGTGTGTGTGTGTGTGTGTGTGTGTGTGTGTGTGTGTGTGTGTGTGTGTGTGTGTGTGAATACATGTATGGGTTTGTATTTGCAACCTGTTACTTTTTAGTTAAAAAAATTAAAAAGTCTTGTATTTTGTTTGGTTACTAATGCTTAAGTATAATCCCATTTCTAAGAATTTGGGACGATGTGCAAAAATGTAAATAAAAACAGGATGTAATAATTTCCAAATCATAAAAACCCAAACTTCATTGAAAATAGAACAAAGACAACATACTAAATGTTGAAACTAAGACATTTTGCTTTATATATGCTCAATTTGAATTTGATGCCAGCAACACGTTGGGACAGGGCAAGAAAAGCCTGGAAATGTTGTGTAATGCTAAAACAAAACACCTGGTTGAATATTATAGTTCATTTAGTAAGATGACTGGTATAAGAAGCACCTCCCAGAGAGGCAGAGTCTCTGTGCAGTGGAGATGGGGAGAGGTTCACCACTGTGAAAGCAGTGCCACCAGTGAAAGCAGTGCCACCAATTAAGAATAATGTTCTTCAATGTAATATTGCAAAGAATTTTATCATCTACAGTACATAGTATCATTAAATGATTCAGAGAATCTTGAGAAATCTCTGTACGCAAGGGACAAGACCAGAAACTAATATTGGACAGCCGTGATCTTCAGGTCCTCAGGCGGCACTGCATTAAAAACAGACCCAATTCTATAGTGGAAACCATTGCGTGGCCTCAGGAACGCTAACAAAACCCACAATCTATGAGCACAGTCTGTCACTCCATCCACAAATGCAGGATGAAACTCTACCGTGCAAAGAAGAAACCAGATCTAAGCATGATCCAGAAACGCCACTGACTTCTCTGAGCTCCAAGCTGATTCAACCCCTGGGAAGTCATAGTGAGGATGATGGTTTTGCCCATAGAAATTAATAGAGTGAGACTGTGTGTGTTTTTTTCCAAACACGATCACTGAAAAGAGAATTTTTAAAAAAATGATGCAAGTGTTTGAAATATTGAACAGCTGCTGACAACCAGTCATCTCCTCACCAATTTACTTGAAAAGTGTTGCATGGGATCCTACAGACAATCAGGCAGCAAAGGGGAAGGTGATTCGGTTACAGGGAACACACACATTTAATTACATGGCAGTAATGTAGAGATACCAGTTAGCCTAACTGCATGTCCTGGGGACTACAGCATGTAAAAGGGAACTTGCAGGACCAAGTTGACAAAGTTGGACTAGAACTGATCTGAAAGGATATCATGCAAAACATTGAGGGTTTGCATTTGATTTTACTTGTCTTATCACTACCTGTGACTTTGAAAAAATAATATACATATGGATATATGAAGTACCCCATGACCCAGAATACAGACAATGAATGAATGGATGGATGGATGGATGGTTGGATGAAGTGCTATAGCAATGAAGCTTAAAACTGCACTGCTGCATAAAAAAGCCCAAGTGCAAGAATTTCCTTCCTGACTTTTGAGCCACAGTGTCAAAGATAAGTGTTTCAAAAGCCCCCAGTACACCCTGAAGTTCATGGAAGAAGCTTTTTGGCCGTTACTAACTGCAAGGTACGAAAAATTCAAGTGTTAATGCTCTTTTTGTGTTTAATCTTAAACTCAACTTGGTATGGCAGTAATGTAGTTCATATTATAGTATAATGCTATTAAAATATATTTGAGTATAGTTAAAATGACCGCTTGCCTTGTTGATGGATATTTTTCTTCATTTGATGAAGTTTCTGGTTGTTGCTTCTTCATCTACCTCGTAATTATTTGATCTACCTCATATTTTCTGTTGCACTTTTGCAGTTATTTCTGCTCCACATTTAAAGTTGTGCAGCCATTTAGGATAAAGGAGGGTCGTAACTCCATGTGTGCTATGGGATGCCTGAGAGGATCCATCATGATCATGCTACTGCTGCTGTTCTGTGGAGATGCGGGGTCCTGCCCAGCCAGATGTATCTGCTCCCCTGTGGCTGAGAGGGGCCAGTGGGTGTATTGTGCAATTTCAGAAAACAGCCCCTTCCCGGCATTGCCCAACAACACCATCATCCTCGATCTCCAGGGCAACCGCCTCCGTGAAATCCCAGCGGGCAGCCTGGACCAGCTATCTCAGCTGCAGCTCCTGTGGCTGCAGGGCAATAGCCTGGAGTGTGGCTGCAAGGTCCTGTACCTGAAGCACTGGTTGGAGGACCAGGGGGGGCAGGTGGTGACGCAGGGAGCATTCTGCTCCCTCTCCAGCGGTACCCTGAAAAGCATCGTCAGGCTGACGGGAAACGAGTACCCCAGCTGTGGAGACGCTGGTGAGCTGGGCTGCCTGGTGCACGTTGGGTGGGGCGTGGCAGCCTTGGGCATCTCACTCCTGTCTCTGCTCCTCCTCAGCTACACCATCATCACTGTCAGACAGATACACAAAAACACAACAATAAACCTCATTTCCTGTAACTAAAAAGTTGCGTATCTGTGACATCACACCCGGATTTGGGTACTTCCCTTAGCATACTGGATTACTGTATAAAAAATGCCCGTACACATAGAATTACAAGCCATGCTTTATAAAGTTATTTGAAAGAAACTTGTTTAGCTGGCTGTCAGTTAAAGCCCATGTGACATCCTAGGGGCCCAGTTTCACTTTGTCTCCAAAGGTGTGTGGCACTCTGCATGCTTCTGGTGCCCCTCTACAGATGGCGCCCTAGGCGGCCGCCTGTGTCACCTAACGGGCAGCCCAGCACTGCCTGGCCGACCAGGCGGAATATCACCCTGATGCATTGCGTTTTCTTTTTTTTATATATTCTTTTGACACCTACCAAAGCCAATGGTAATAAACTGTTTCCTTACACTTTGACAGTCATTTATTCTTGATGGAAAGAAAAATACAAGAAATGAACATGACATATATGAATGATATGTTGTTGCATAATTAAAGATAAACATAAAATCTTGACTGCTTTGAGTCCATTTATGTGAATTTATTTCATAATTTCACATGCTGAGAAGCCTGATAGAGAACTGTAAGCCTGTAGTTAAATGAACTAAGTGAATATCAATTTTCTATTTAATTATGTTGTTTTCTTGTTCCAGTTTTCCACCTTTAGTCATCCACAACTGCACAGCAACTGTATCGATAAAAACTAAAGTAAATCAAAACTTCAGGAAAGGCAGGTCAGGGTGCTGTGCTAGTACTGCTGACCTACATCCCAGGGCTCAAATCGCATGGTTGTCATGGTGATGGCAACGTTGGGCGCTTGACCAAGGCCCTTAACCCCCAATTGTGACATGGATATTGTTTTCTCAATAGTGCGTCACTTTAGATGAAAGTATCTGCAAAATAAATTCATATAGCGTCGATGTCAATAAAGAAATGAGCAGGACATTCAAATGTTACAGCTTGGGCAGCTTTTTTGTAAAGTAACAATTCAAATGTGTTACTAATTTAGTAAAATGTTTGGAGGCTGTGATGCTATTTATTTAGTTAACAGCATGCAGCAGCTTCTTTCCCAACCAATAGAAGTATAAAAAGCATATTTCTTTATCTGCTTTATCTTGGATAAGCAGAGTCAACAGAGGAGCACCTCTTGGTTTAGTGACGGTTCTCCTTGCAGCGAGGCGTGGAAAGGCCTCCCTAACACTCTTCCAGCAAGACAGCTGGAAGAGATACTCTTATCTTTCACCCCCATGCACGTTTTTGTGGCGGTCACATGACCCAAACTTGAATCCAGTCAGCCTTTATGTGTACACATGTGTTTTTTACAGTCTTCCTACATTATTTATTACTGGGATGCGGTAAATTGAATGTCAGAAAACATTTTAAGCTGCGTGCCCAAAAGCGGCAATTGGCCTCAAAGAGGACTTTAACGTGCCGACCTACCTCAGGCAGAAGGATGTTTGGGACCGTGAACTTCTGCTCCATTACCGGTGTGATGATTGAAGGTAAAGCCCTCGAACCCACACCCGCTACAAGCTGCACCAAATGTCGGCGCCACTCTGCTTGTACACTTTTACATTTAAACCTATTTGCAATACAATTGTTCTACAACTTACTAATATGTAAGCTTGTGCAGTAAGGGCCATCACACTTTATTGACGGTTATGTGCATTCATATTTTTATATTCATATTTTATATTCGTTAATGGATGAGCAGACGTTTTGAATGCTTACACAGGTAAATGCGGGATAAAAAATTGCGAGATTAAGTAGAAATATCCATTTCTTGAGAGCTGAACCGGTGACCTTCTCAGTCCTCTACAATTTATTCCTGACATCCAACACATGAGTCATATACCTTCATATAGTGCAAATTATATTTTTGAGTACCTTTGACTGGCTTCTGTCTAGCACTGTTCTGTTCTGGCACTGGATGAACACTTGGATGTATGTCATTAAAGGCAGTCAATTTTTATTTTTTTTTTACATTGTAAACTTCCCTATATTTACCGTCTTTTCAAGTCAGCCCTAAATGATCCTGAGTATTTAAAAATAAATCGAACTTCTATTATTCAAGGGTTACTAATGAAGGGATGAAATCAAAAGCGAAAGTGATGTGACTCAGTCCCTTCACTGTATGTTTGTTCTTGTGCTGAGGACTTTAGAAGGATGACAGAGCCCACAGACAGAGTCGCTGCCCGTAACCCTCACCCCCATCCCTTCCTGCACAACCTGGCTCTCTTCCCCATTGTTCCCCATGCAGGATGCATTCTGGCCCAGCATTAGCTCTCTTAATCCTCCTGGCCTCTTCTGGGGCACTGACCAGCCCAGACTCCTGCCGCTGTTCTGCGGTTGGACCCTCTGGACTCTCCCTCGACTGCCGAGCGCAGGGTCTGACAGACGTGCCTCCCATGCTGCCCAGCACCAAAGAGCTCTACCTGCAGGACAACAGGCTGACCGCCATGCAGCCAGGGCGCCTGGATTCACTGCACAGCTTAATGCTCGTCAATCTATCTGGCAACCCCTGGCACTGTGGCTGTGACATTCTGTATCTGAAGGCTTGGCTCGAGGACCAGGGGGAAGTGGCGGGAATCCCAACCTGTGCCACTCCGCCCAATCTGGCACACAAACCCATCACCGAGCTGACGGTGGCAGACCTTCCTGAGTGCAGCCAGCGTCACTGCCAGAGTACCTGGCTGGACAGTTTCACCATCCTGCTGTTCTGTGGTCTGGTTGCCACGCTGCTCTGGTGCCTGTGGACGGCTAAGAACTCCTCCTTGACAATTATCCTTGATCGGAGAATCCAAGGAATTGAGAGCAATGTACCGCGATCCTTCAGGCCAAAATATGAAAGAAGACCGGAGTCCTGTTCAACGGAGGTTGAATCCACACTTGAGTGGACGGATGACCTGGAGAGGCCTCTGCTTAACATGGAAATCTTACCTCAAATCATTGACTCTTTGCATAAGAAACATAATATAAAGATTAAGGTAACATGATGCATAGGATTGATACCATGCATACAAATGGGTGGCCAGTGGAAGATTTGAAAGGATGACAAGTGATTGTACGTTTCAAACAGTACAGTGTTTTGTTTAACTGTACAGGTATGCCTTTCCACGCTTACAGTTTTTCTTGATTGCTTTGGCACTTTTCATGAAATATACCAAGATTCTCACGACTCTAAAGGAATTCTCAAAACAATTCATGTAGCACAACACTAAGGTTTAGCTGCAAAAGCCCATATCTCACAAAAACAGAAAAATGGCAATACATGAACAAGAAAATAGCAACAAAATCATGTACTGTAGAAAACCAAAAACAATTCTGCATCACTATGGAATATATTTTTTAATCATTTTGAAAGTTTGCACATTTTCCATGTGGTGACTAACACGATGATCACATACATGTATAGTTGTGGGTGTAAAATTATTACAATGGAAAACCACATGATCCATTTTGACCAACAAGCCTAAAGCAATTGAAAATTATGCCAAATGATGACAATTGTACAAGACCATTTGTATACATGCACTAAAACATTTGCAATTTGTGTGAAACAATGAAAAAAGTTATTCCGCTGTGCAGAAGTGGCATTATGATATGGAGATTAAATTTGTTGTTGTGCAATTATTGACATTTGAGAAATGTGCCAAAGCAATAAAAAAACATACTTTTATACACCTGAAATTCCAAATACTGTTGTCAGGCTACCTGTATAATTTTGACACTGCAAAATTACATACATACAACCATCTTCAAATTGCTTATCATGGTCAGGGGGCGGGGAGGGCGGGGAGGGTGAAGAGGCCTATCGTAGACGGCACTGAACAGAGATCTGAGCTGCTCCCTGCCTGCCAGCTTACAGCAGGACATGTAGACACACACACACTCACATGCACATGTAGGGTAAACATATCCTTATGGGGACCGCTCATTCATTTCAATGGGAAAAATGCTAACGCTAACTATGACCTTAACCCTACCCTGCCCTAACCATAACCATAAGTAACCTAACAAAATACAAGAGTTTTTGCATTTTTAGGTTTTTCATAGCAGTCACCGATTTTTATAAAATAGAGTTTTCCCTTATGGGGACCAGGAAACCGGTCCCCATAAGGGAAAAAAACGGATATTTATCACGTTATGGGGACATTAAGTCCCCATAAGGATAGGTAAACCCGCTCGCATACACACACATGCATACATACACACACACACACGCACACGCACGTGCACACACACATACACCGTAGACAGTTTATGGACGCAACAGCATTCTGCGACATCCATTTAAAAACTATTCAGTTTCAAAAGCTTGTTGATGTTTGTTGATATTTGCATAATTTAAAATATTTACATTTTTTTATATAATAAAGTTTTAAACAAGATTTCAGATAAAGCCTCCTATCCTGATTATTTGTCCCCATGACGATGTTGCATCGTGATAAAAATAATAATACTTTTTAGCAATATAAGAGATTCTCAGAATGTTACCTCAACTGAACTCATTCCTGATGTTTTAACATTGAAATGCAAGGCTTTGTTTCAGGCACCATTATTAAATTGCTATGGTAATTGTAAACCTTTGGCTGTCATACCTAGAGTTCACCTTAATAACTCGAAAGTGTAAACAACAATTTCCCAATTGGGAGTTCAGCTTATAATGGACTGGCAACTACACTGATCAGTCATAACATTAACCGACAGGTATAGTGATTATCTTGTTACAATGGCACCTGTTAAATGGCCATTATATATCACGCAAGCGAACAGTCATTTCTTGAAGCTGATGTGTTGAGGAAGGAAAAATGGTCAAGTGTAAGGATCTGAGTGAGTGATGCATGGAGGCCCAACCTCAACTTATGACTTAAAGGATCTGCTGCTTACGTCTTGGTGCCAGATACCACTGGGCACCTTCAGAGGTCCGGTGGAGTCCAGCTGTTTAGGCATCAAAAGAGGGACGTACACAATACCAGGCAAGAGGTTCTAATGTTATGGCTGATCAGTGTATAACACTATTCACATATGCATTCAGTATAATTTAATTTTGGGTGTGGGGCACATTTATTTGCCGGTTGCCCATTGCACAGTATGAACCTCTATTTTAGATTTGATTCCCTTGTGTGCTACATTTTATTAAGGCATTTATTGATGCTATATTTCAGCAAAACCCCAAAATTGAATTTATGGTAAGGAGCTTGCCATTCATTGAGCAGAGTGTGACACATACATAACTCCAGGTATTCTGTACACTCTGGGTGTAAGTGAATCAGGCCAGAAAATGCCAGCCTTTGAAAGCTGTGCTGCTTTCACGTTACCAGCTGCTGAGGTTTACTTCAACCAGAAAACTGACTTTAATTGAGCAATAAGGAAATTAATTTAGTGGAAAACAGCACACCTTGATGATCTTAATGAGAAATTCCCACGTTGCCATCTCTACTTATCATCGTCAGTTTCACTTTTAATCAGTGATATGACATTGTCTCTCCTAATTTAGAAAATACAGAGTTTCCATAAAAACCTAGATCAGTATGCAAAGTGGTGGGTTGTTGCAGGTTCTCTCCCTGCTGTGTGTATATTCTCCGCATGTTGCAGCGGTTTTCTCCTGCAGTCCAAAGACAAATGGTGAAATGGTGTCTGTGAATCGCTGATAGTGAGTGTGCCTTGTGAGGACTGGTAACCTGTCCAGGTTGATCCCCTGCATTGTTCCCCATGCTGCACAAGATGCTACAGCCCACCCCCTGGAATAAGTGGCAGGAAAAGAAATGGATTGTTATATACAAAGGGGAGGCTTTTGGTGTTTTCACAAATTAACCATGTGCTTCTCCCGTGATTATTTGCAATGCTATTTGATTTTCTTTTGGTTATTTATTATTTCCTTAAAACCAGCATTGTATACACACACACACACACACACACAGAGCCGGGGTAAAAATTAAGGAACCACAGCACGATTTTTTGTTTCACTCATTTCTCAATTTATGGTTGTGAGTCTGTGAATAATGTATTTGTTTTTGCAAACTGCAGCCTGTTTCTTCTCTGTTTCTCATTAATGTTTTATGGGATTTCGGTCCTGCTTCTAGAAGCCTGCCATGCACTGTCCTAGCAGGGCACTTCACACCTGCACTTAATGTTTCCCATTCCTTCTGAAGGTCACTTGATCCTATGATTCATGAGAAACTGTCAGATAAGTTAACGGTCATCTCTGCCATTAGAATCTCGCTTTCTCCCTTTACCTGGCTGGTTTCCGGTTGTTCCCAGTGTCTCCTGCTTCATCTTGTGTGCTGCTGTCTTACAAATTTTGAACCCGGAAGCAACCTACTGCCCAGCGTATCCTTCTGTCAGCATAAGCATGATTAAACCATGATGTTAAAATGCAGATGTTTAAAAACATAGCGAGGTCTTAATTTTTTCCACGGCTGTGTGTGTATGTATGTATGTATGTATGTATGTATGTATGTATGTATGTATGTATGTATGTATACACACACACACACACACACACAATTTATATGTATATATAGTATATATATATAGTATGTGTATAAATTTGTACATATATACACACATACATGCATACATATATTAGATAGATAGATATAGTTATATCTCAAATAAAATATTTACATTTATTCCACTCATTCCTCTTTGCCCCACATTTTATGAATTATAGTCTCCAAACAAAGACCTTTCCTTTAAAAATAAGGTTGAAAGCATGACAAAAGCATTTTAGCATGGATGTTTTTTGCAGATGACATACAAAGTTCCAGTAATAAACTCGTTTAACCCAGTGTAACACATTGACAAGCATCACACATGCAACAAGTTTGCAGCATTGTATTTCTTATATTGTGTTACGTCCAGGTTCCAAAGACTACATAATGGGAAGCAGTGACAAGCAAGAACTCCTTTTACATTTGTTTAGAATTAGAATTTAGAGATCAGTGGTCATTGTTGACACACCAGAGCACACAACAACAAAATGTGTCCTCTGCACTTAACCCATATGTGACATAGCAGGGGGCAGCTAATTCAGCGCCCGGGGAGCAGTGCTTGGGGGCGGTACCTTGCTCAGGGTACCTCAGTGGTGCCTTGTTGGTTGGGAATTCGAACCTGCAATCACCACTGCAAGCACCACTGTTTAGCAGAGGTTTTTGTCAAAACCGACATACAATTGAAGAAAGCTTGGAGGGAGAGACCAGGGTCAGCCGGCACCCAGAAAGCTTGGAGGGAGAGACCAGGGTCAGCCGGCACCCAGTAAGCTTGCAGGGAGAGACCAGGGTCAGCCGGCACCCAGCACCCTTGCCAGCCAAGGAATTCAAATCTGTAACCACAGACCTCTGACCCACTGAAATAACTGCTGCCACAAAATAAAATAATACAACAACCAAAAAACAAAATGGGTCCCACTTCCTTTTAGCCAGTTATAAATGGTAGTTAGTAGTAAAAAGAAAACTGATATAACTTGTTTATAATTGTCTATTAATGAAGTGTTACAAAATAGCTATAAACCATTTATTAAATCCTTTATAAGGGGAGTCTTATTGTAAAGTGGTAGGGAATTTTAGCTGTTCTACATAGGATGAGTCAAATCCAGGTTAATATTCAGCCTGTTCACGCTGTTCCTGTGGAATCACTCCAAAAATACATTTAACCATCCATTAACCAAACTGCGAAAATACTGCAATTTAATATAAATCAACAAAATAGACATTTTCCCCTCAACATGTCATTTAAAAGTTCTAGGACTTGCAAAATAACAGCATTAATATAGCAGGAAGCTTATAATTATGTAAACAACAGCAGTTCTGTTTATGTACCAAGAATACAAACAGCAGTCTTTATACATTTTGCACATAACAGCTTGTTTAACTAAAAACTGCTTCCCTTCAAAAGAGGAAGGACTCGTATTTCCAAACAAGGATGAATAACACTAACAAATCCTTTGATTTCCATGCCTGGAAAACACCAGTATCTTTAGGATGAAGGTGGCACTTACAGTTTCCTGAGATCAGTTACTCCAGTTGTTGTCCACAGTTTATGATACTTTGAGCTCAACCCATTGGAGAGCTATAGATCAGATACATATTGGTACACAGTAGCACAAGACCACAATGAGCTTTATAGTGGAGAGGTCTTTGCAGTCTTTTAATGGAAGATAGCCACATGCAGTCAGACAGTGTCACATGGCAGAGAATAAAGACAGAAGCAGCTTGGTTTGTTAAGGAGTTAAGTAATGAGAAGAAATGTTTGGATGCTTTACAAATGTAAAATTTCTCAGTACCAGCATTAGGAATAAAAAATGAAACATTTCTACATTAACAGACTGGTTTAAATTGTTATATTTTCATTGTCCTTTGTATTGCAAAAGACTACAAACTATGAAGATTCCCCAGAGAATGAATATTCATTTTTAAAATCACATTTAAAATACCCATAATTCCGAGACGGCTACCATATTATAGGCTCTGAGAAGCTAATGCAACATGTTCAAATTTATATGAATAATAACATATAGAACTAAAACCTTCTCACGCTTCACAAAATGTAGTAGTAACTTTGCCCACTAATATGGTTTCAATTTCTCCCATCGCCCTTAATTTAACACTACAGATGGGAAGCAAGTAGTTTTGTGTAAGAGAATTCAGGTACAATACAGTGTGAATCATCCTCTTGGCCTTCCAAAGGGGAAATTATTAAACTCTCTTTTGGAGGTTGGGGGGTCACATGATGACACTTCTGATTGGACAGCGTCCCTACTAAAGGCAGACCCTTGACCCATGCATCTTACTGAATCTTAAACTTTTCCTTTTCAAATATAAGTTCTACAGCAGCATCTACATCCTGCACCACATAGTTGGGTTCAACCAGTGATGGGTCGAAGCAGAGGTCACGGTGGCCATGGAACACAGTCTCCCTGATGCTGTGACCGGCACTGGGAGGTACCTCCATGTGTGGGTTGTAGACACCAGTGCAGACCAGGATGGACTTACAGGAGGTGGCAGAGGGGGCAGCCAGCATGTTCTCCCAGGCACCATCCACATTGTCTTCATGGGGCAGTGCGGTAGAGGACCCAATGCCACCCCACACCTTGGCCACCGCTTGTGAACGCTTGTGAGCAGTCCGCTCTTCCAGGTAGCGGTTGTACATGTTAGCACCATAGATGTCAGTCATGAGGTTGTCTCTGATCAGAATTATATGAGAAACAGAGCACAATATTACTCACAAAACATGAAAGTAATATCAAAGCCCTCCCTGTCATGCAATGAGTTAGTCAGCGCTCAATA